ATGAGAACAGTCTACCCCTGTAGATTAAATAAAGTGTTCAATTTAGAATTCCCTGTAGATTATGCAGATTGATATACACCTGATGGTATTTATCAATTCACCCACAGGAATTGAATGTGGCACAAGGCCTTTTTAATGTGGGTAAGTCCGAGCCCGTAGGCCCAGCCAAAAATAAAACCCATCTAAACCCGTCCAAGCGGGCTAGTTCCGGCAACCTCCCCGAACGAAACCCCACCCTTCAAGGGGAGCCTCGTCCGGGTTCCTCTCTGCAAGCAGAGAGTTCGACAGACACCAGGCTCGGCAGCTCACAAAGCGCAGATACTACACTTTGATCCTAGCCACCGGGCCGAGCGGGTATTCTTTTTAGAGATACAAAGATACACCTGATGAAGATATACACCTGATGAAGACTGAAGCGCAAAACTGCTGAAATGTGATAACAAAAATGAGGACAATAGTACAAATATAAATAGTGTAAATAAACCTATGATAGATATTTTCTTAGTTTGGCACAAGGCCACAACCTTATGAGGACTGAGATCACTGCGCTAGTGACTGGCTCACTAACTATCATTCTATGTCAGTTAGCCGGTGATAGATTAGAACAGATTGGGTAGATGGATAAACTAACAGAAAGGAAAAGAGGTAAATAAAGTCATTCAAATACTGATATTTGAATTTATGACCATATGCAACTACAATTAGAGAGAAGTAAATAAAACTATAGATTACAAACAGATAAAACACAGATCTATTTATGATACTGGCATATGTGCATAGACATTTTGGTTGAGTCACACCGAGCCCAGTCCAGCACATGTCAAGATCTGTAGATTCTCTCTCTGCTCATCTGTGCGTCTCACCTTTTATTCAGGTTTTTGACCACACATGCAAATTAGCGATAGTTTTAAAATCACTAGAATCACACAATGCACTTTAGCGAAATTGTAAATGACAGGTGGGTCAGCATGGCTTCTTAGCAATGGGTAGTTTAGAATTTCTTGATCCTATTTCACCACAGACATTTCTATATTTTATGTGACTTCAGAACATGGGTGATCAAGGCTCTTAACAACTTCTTGTCCTTTGTAACTCTTAATACACATTTTTACTATCCTTTCTGCTCACTATTCTGTTATCCATTTACACAAGTAGAACCACATCTTTATAGCTTCAAGTTTCCTCTTTATCGAAATTGTCCAGCATTCACTGCTATATAGGATTGATATTACAAAGCAATTCAGAACTCTTCTTTGTTTCTAAGAAAAAATTTCTATTTGTTAATACTGTGTTTAGATTTTGAAAGTCATCTTTCACTAATGTGCCTTTGGATTTTGGTGCCACATTTCTGTCATCTGTTAAAACACTTCCCAGATATTTAAATTTCTGTACTTGATTATGATACTTCCAATTTGTAGTTTGCATCTTGTTGTTCCTCTTCCTGACAACAATGCATTCTGTCTTCTTACAGTTGATGGATAGTCCTTTCTTCCTGCTTACCTTTACTACCTTTTCTAGACCCTGTAGTTTTCACATAGATGCTACCAGAATTAAATAGAATAAACTGAGAGAGAGAAATAGTCAGACTAATAATTATGCAAACCAGCTATAAAATATATCAATATTCAATGAACAACTAAAGGTATAATTGCCATAATTCATTTATTATTCCTTCATAGCAGGTGTTCCAGGCTATGGCAAATATGGATAAACTATTAGAGATACATGTAGTTAAAATATGATTAGACCTGTAGATAAATGACTAAGAAATATGAAATAAGAAGATATATAGAAAAGTATGTGAACATCTACTTTTAGCAACTTTTTTACCATTTACAGTAGCACTTCACATCATTTATTATAGTCAGTCAGTTATATGCCAGGCATGATACCCCTTAAGCAATCATGTATCTTTTGATACATGACTGACAAGGCAGATTTTTTCCTGCAGTAGGTTGCCATTTCTTTCTGTGATAATTACCATCCAAGGCTATAGAACCTGGTCTGTTCTGCTATTTACCCATAGCTGGGTGGGAATATAAGAGAATTCATACCTTTCCCAAGGGTATTAGCACATAAGTGAAGGTAATGGATTTGACTGGAATTTGAACATGGCTCTCCAATTCTTCAATCCGAGCCACTATCTATTACTCCACCATGCTCCTCTCCTATTACAGTAGTATAATAAAAAAATAATCCTTGAAAATGGTTAACAGTTTAGCTGAAAGTGTTCAGAACTGTTGCACGGGCAACTGCTGATGCCGTTGTTGGCCTTGTTTTGACAGTTGAGTGAAGGAGTTTACTGCTAATCCCTGAAGGAGAAAAAGAACGTTATGTTTCAGCAGGCGAGAGAAAGAAAGAGCCAACAAACCTTTGCATGTCCAAAATGAGGAATAAAAGAACCAATTTGAATATAACAATTTTATAAAAACAATGATAATTAGATGAAAGAGAAAAGGAGTACTTTGAAAGATTAAAGATAATTCATAGTCCTGAGAAATAAAATTTGGGAGAACAAATGTCTTTGTATGTATTCGTGTGTGCAATATATATATATATATAAAGATGTGTGTATCCCTTTTGCAGCAGACATAAGTGAGTGTTGGAATGAGTATTTCACGTTGCTTGTGTTAGTCTTTTTGTATGGTGTGAGTGCCTGAGAAAAGGCTTTCGTCAGCATAGTGTAAATGAGTCTTTGCATAAATATGCTTTCTCTCCCAGATAGCAGCCCCTTTTCTCACCTGAGTGTAGTTAAATTCTTTCTGACTGTGCAAATAAAAATTTCTCCTTTATATAGCCAAGAGTCATCTCCAAACATGGTCAAAAACTCAAAATTAACTTATGTATACATTTTATCCTGATTGGTTAAAAACTCAAAAGTTAATTATCCAAACAACAAATTATGCCTGTTTGAAACTTAAATTTGGCAGGTTTTAACATCAACATCAGAGTTGAGCCTATCTTTTTTTGCTAATATGCTTATTTCATGTTTTAGTTTTTTTTTTTTTTTTATAAACCGACTTGTTTAATTTTGGTCCTTTGGCATTGTTTCTTTTAACTTCAAACTGGAGCTTCATTCTTTTAAGAAACCGACTGGCTTCATTTTTTTGTCGGTTTCTTTTTCAAAGAAATCGTGTCGGTAACTTTCAGTTTTAAATTTTAGTTTTTCATACAATTCTATTATCATTTTTTTTTATTATAAATATTTTCTATAAGGCATAAGCCAAGAAAAGAAGACTCTTCTTAAAGCATAAAAAGTAGTAAAAAAAGTTACCTTGTCTCGTCAGTCTTCTTGTTCAACGAAACATAAACTAAAAAAAAGGGATTGCTGCCCAAATACATAAACGTACAATACATTGTATATGAGAAAATTGATTGTTAAAATACGAGGTTGAGAAAAATTACCTTTTTTTAGTTCTCTTTTCACAAAATGAGGCTTGTTCGCTTAAAAAATAAAAAAAATACCTGCTTATATGGTTAGTGAAGCTTTTAGAGTAGAAGTCTAGACATTATTTGAGATTTGACATTTGTTGAGTAAACTGTAAAAACAGTTTTCATCGAAGCATTTTTTTTTAGTTGTAATTAGAAATTAATTCTAATAAATGCAGCATTATTAATGCTGATACTCAAACCCACCGTGATTCAATCAAAATTATTTCGCCCTTTAAGTTAATAAAGTTATTTGTTTTGGAGTTTTACAGAAATTGTAGTAGTGTCACGGTGTCAGGTAATTACCCTGACAATTTCCGGTCGTAAAAAAAAAGTACCGGTCGAAATTTAAAATAAAAATAATATCAGTGGACGACGTCGCAGTTAATTAAAATGACTTAAACTGTGTAAATCAGATTATTTTTTTATTAGTTGAGTTGAGACCACTTTCCTTCTCAGCTCTTCAAATGACAACATAAAACAAAAAGTTAAAAAAAAAAAAAAAAAAAACTATTTCTGACAGGTTCTCTCAGGCTGAAATATTTGTTTTGACAGAATAAAAAAAAAATCGGTCAAATGGTGGAAGTCGTTGTTTTACAGGAAAATCGAGGAGACATGGGTAGCGAAAAAGGAAGTTTTTTTTTTCTTTTTTTTGTAAACAAGACCCGGTACGAAAGCTGATAAAATTGTGGAGGGAAGTTAAACGTGGGATGGCCACCACCAACGCACTACTAGGGACTGTCCCAGAGACAGAAAAATTCAGACGTCACTACTAGTAAAAAGTTTGCGTTTGTAAAGAAATCTGTTTTCAGTTAGTGTCTACTGGATTGGTGTTAAATAAAAAGTAAAGAAGTCATCCCCACAAAAAATTCAAGTTTTTAAAAAGTTCATGTTTCTTTAAAAAATGCATTTTTCTTTTTCGTTCAAACTACAATTTCACTGCGAAAAGCATTTGATTTGTATTTTTGTACACTTTTGAGTTTTGAAAAACCATTATATACTTTTTTGACGTCATGTAGGGACATTTTACTACTGAAAGTCAGAATGAAAATTAAAGACGATACGTTTCCTGCTTATTGACAATAAGATGATCGTGTGACGAAAAAAAAACACTTGATATTTTTTTTTTCAGTGAAAACTCGTACACTACACACAAAGTAGAAATATTTTTACTAAGTTTTAAACCTGATAAAAAATAATATTCTTAAATAACCGTTTACTTGGAAATTATATTTTTGAAATCAGTTTAGGAAAACTTTAAAGATAAATCTTTAGTTTAAAGGAAATAAAGTCTGAAGTTTTTTGGTTAATTTTTTTTGTTGTTACAGGAACCGGAACAAGTTTTCTTTTACACATGCGCAGTAGTAGCTTAGATGGCTACCAAGGTGGGTTGTCAATGTTTGTGACAGCCGATGTTTTGTCATCCACGAAACAAAATTATTGCACTGTCGTTTGGTTGGAGGTGAAAACCGCCTTGGCAGCAACCCATGTGGCAGTTGGACACTGGTGATAAAAAAAGAGCAAACGGGATTTCTTTTTCGGGATAATTTCTCGAAATGTAGAGACACTCGATGAAAAAGGACCGCAAATCGTACCCTAAAAATACAAACGCCACAGTACAAGTAAGCCTCATTTTTTTCATAGTGTAAAAATTTAAAGTAATTAACAAATAAACATGATCAAAAATATGTTTGAAAAAGTCTTTATTCTTAATTAATTACGTTGTTACTGGCTTGTCCTAATTTTAATCTACTGGTAGCGAGCGTCTACACTACTAAAAGTATTATCAAAATAAGTGTTTGCTTTGTATACGTCAACATCTCTTTCTCGGAGGCTCCGCTTTTAGATCATTAATCATTTTTATCGTTAGAAAATCTACCCACTCCACTTTTTCTAATACATAAATAAACAACGTCACAGCATGCACCAACTAAACTTATTTACGTAGATTTTTTTATCACCGTGTTATTGACCAAACTGCCTCTCACTATTTAAACTGGCCAGGTTTTATATACAATTATAGCCGAATTAGTGAATAAATGGCTTCAAACTTAAAGGATCTGGAATAGGATTTCCTTTTAAGTTTTAAAAATTTATTTCTTGTTTTGCGTAAATAGTTATTCATTTGTATATTTTTTTTTAACTAATCAACCAATGATTTTAAAAGTTTTTTTTTTTATAAAACGATTTGTATTTTATTTTTCCTGGTAGATCAATCAATATTGAAAACTAAAAGTTTATTTTTATTTTATCTTAGTCGTTGGTATCAAAATTTTTGTATTTCTTCTTAAAAACAAAAAATAATGCCAACATTATCATTTCTGCTGTTTCTAGAAAATTATTGGTTTTTTTACTTTTACTAGTACGACTTTTTTTTTTCTTTTATTTTTAGTTTTGGTCAGCAATACCAACACATCCTTTGTAAGATTTCTGTAGGCTGGAATTTGTTGAAGTTCCTAAAAAAACTAAGATGATTCCTGGCTGTTTAACTCGGTTCTTATCTAAGATTCCTCGTGAACAGCTGGAAACTGGTGTTGCCATTGTTTTGAGGATTCCTTCCTTATTCATTGTTGAACTCTGCTTCCGTACTGACCCTTTGAAAGGTGTTCCTGTTGAAGCGAAAGCTAAAGACATACATCTTGTCGCCAATTTTATCTATTATGCAGGTAAGTCAGTTATAAGTTTTTTTGTTAATTTACTTTTTCCACAACTTTTCTTTATTTAAAATTGGTAGTCTCTTAAGTAAGATAAGATTTTCCTTTTTGTTTTGTGTTAATTTCAAATACATAAACAAACTAGATTTTTTTTTACCAGGTCTCGTATTTCGTTGGACATGAAAACAAACTAGGTACAAATACGGATCTTTTTTTTTTTTGTTTATTCGTAATAGTTTGGAATAAGTAAAAATAGACTTCATATAATAATTACTAATTATTAATTAATTTTTTTTAAATTTAAAAGGCTTAACGTACCATGTGACTATTATTATTAATGTGCAACATTATCAAAAACTTGTTACCGTTTTTTGTTTGTTCACTATGACCATATTGCATTCTTTTTTGCAAGTTATGGTAGCATGATTAGAATGCATTTCCAACAATGTGTGAACTTTCACATTTCAGCAGAGTTAAAAATGCGTAGTAAATGGGTCCACAAAGAAAAAGTTTGTTTCATGCGCGTGTAACAGGAATGTTGGCAATGTTGTTGCTGCCAACTGGTTGGAATGTATATGCTAGTTCCAGACTATATTGTAGCTAACTAAAAGAAAGTGAAAAAAAAAAGTGTCAGGAACGAGAAAAAGGACAGTGCATTTTCTTAATTCTTCTAGAAAAGATAAAAAAAAAATATTGAAATAAATAAGCTTTTTAAATGTAAAACTAGAGTTTTAAAGAAAAAATCTATATAAGTTAAAAAAAGTAAAACATTTGCTATATTCTTCTTGTATCAAAAAAAGATGATTTTTTTTTTTTTTACTCTTCTTACACTACTACATATTTGAAGTGCACATGTAACCCAAATTCCGATCCAATTACTACTGTGATGATGAGCTATATGCTTTTTTAGAAATCATAATGTATTTTGAATTGATTGAAGTCAATGATGAAGTGAAGATTGAAGGAAGGGTGTCATTACGAAACTTACCGCATTGGCAATAATGCTAAAAACTACACTACAGCATGCAACGCCCCTCATAAAGGAATCTTCTAGTAAGGAGTGTTAATTTAATTAACATCCCAATAAATTGAATCATTTTTGAAGAATAGACTCCAACAAAATTGGCAGTTTTTAATAATTTACAATCGTGGAAGATGTTTTTTTAATATTCAAAAAAAAAAAAAAAACGTAAATGCATTGATATTGATTTTTCTTACTGTCAGTTTTTTTTTGTGTTTAGTTGTCGTGTACCTAAAAAAAAAAGTCTTCATATTAAAATTTTTTAAAGCAGTTCGGAAATATTTATAAAGTGAAGTGTATGTTTTTTTGAAACTTGAAACTAGCAAGTTAACCCGACGTTGACGAGCACTCAAGAAAGTTTAAATTTCTGACTTGTGGATGTTTTTATTTGCGCTGATCAACTTTTTCTACTCAATTATTAAGTCTTCTTAGTCTCTAAAATAATAAAAAAACCAAGATTATGGGCAATCTTTTCTTGTCTTAAATGTCGATGAAAATTTAAAAAAAATCGTTCTATAGAGAGACCTTGATACATTTCCTCTTGTCTCGAAGTAAGATGTTTGCTCTAGTCTCTAAATGGTAGATAGACAAAATTGTAATCATGTAGTCAGTCACGTAATCTAATCATGTCCTTGGTTTGCAATTGCCACTAATTCTTTCATCAGGCACAACTGATATGTTATTGTTTTATGAAATAATTTTGTTTTTTAATAGAACACTGAAAATGGTTGGCTATAGGTTCGTATTTACAAAAATAACGAATTCCAATTAGTTTTAGTTTTATTTCATTTTATTTATTTTTAGCAGAATAATACATCAAAGAAAAAAAAAATTATTTCTTTTGTCTTTGTTCAATAGTTTTGTGTACTTGGTTGTGCAGTTACTGAGATGAATTTTCATTTTTCTGACTTTATTTTTAAAGTTTGGACTGTGATGACAATTCTGTGAACAATAAACCAAATCAGGTTTATCTCGATTTAATGTAGGTATCTCTTCAAACGCGATACCTAAGATGTAAAAAAAATGCTATATTTCAAAACAAAACTAATTTAAATTAAGTACTTAAAAAAAAGAGCATACCATGATGAAAAAAGGCCCCAAACTTGATAAAAACAAAGTTTTATCGTCAGAATGTGTGTTATTGAGAAGAGGAAAAAACAAAGTATTTTTCTATTTTATTAAATTTTTTAATCCTTTCTAGAATGTTCGAAATTTTGGTTAAAAAATCTTGTTTTTCTTGTGTCAGCGGGTGGGCCAAAGATTAGTATTGGAAAAATTTAACGTCGTTTTTGTGGTAAAAAAAAACTAAAAAAAAAAACAAAAAACACAGTTTTAGAAATTTTTGCAAAAATCAAGTAATTGTCGGATTTTAAATTTTTAATGGAATTTTCAGGACTTCACAAATTAATGAAATTATTTTTATTTAGAAAATCTTGGTAAATGTTTTTTTAAACATCTGTTACCCCCCACTTAATTTTATGAACTTTCTAGGAATTAAAATTCCACCTTCTTCATATTTATTAGTTAAAAGAAAGCAGGACTCCTTGCAGAATTTAAATCAATTTGTTTTTGTCAAGCACAGACACCATTTATTTACCGAAAATCTGCTCTGAATCGTAAAATAAAAAATGCAATGAAACTCTCTAATTATTTAATTAAAAAGGCTTTTAACTGTATTTATAAATAAGATATAATAATAAGGACACTATTGTCTTAAGGAAAAAAATTGATGAATAATGAATTTTCACAAGAATTGTTTTCAGTTATCTTTTACAAATAAATTCTCTATAGAACATTAGATCTGTCCTCACCTTGTCAAAGATGTAAACATGTCTACTGTTTGGTTAAAAAATGCATTTCTGCAATATTTTAAACTTAAAGTAAACAATATTTATTTTAAATCAGCTAATATTCCTCAAAATTTCAGAAAAGTACATTTTATTTTGTGAAGATTTATAAAGATAAAAATACATTGTGGTGAAAGACTATTAAAAATGGTGCTAGTCAGCTATTTTAGCAAAAATAAATTTAAGAAATCCCTTTCCAGTCAATTTAAATTAGTTTTTGAAATACAGCAAAGTATTTTGCTTATTGGAAATATTAAATTTAATCTATTAGCTTGAAACTAAAATAAAAGCTTTAAGAAAGATTTTTCATTTTTTTAAAATTCATTTTTTATTTTTAAATCTTAGGTGTTGTTTTTTGTGGTGGTAACTAATTTAAATTGACTGGAAGGAATTTTTGAAATTGCTAAAAACCACTGACTTTAGTTAGTACCACTATATTTACTAAACATAAGCTTTTCCATTTATATTTAGCAAATATAGTTTTTACTTAATAACAATATCACTTAACCAGTACAAATTAATATAGAAATTTGAAAGATTTTAAAATTAAAAAAATGGAAACTGTTTTTGTAAAAAAAAAATATTTTTCTTAAGACAATAGTGTCTATAATATATCTTATTCATAAAAGCAATTATAGATTTTCTAATTAATTAATGTCTTAGTTTTATTGCATTTTATGATTTGGTGCAGATTTTCAGTAATTGGGAGTCTTTTTTTTTATATAAAAAAAAGAAAAATGATTTAAATTCTCCAAGGAGTTCTATAAACCTTAAGCAAATCAAAAATTAATTTCTTTAAATTTCATAAAATTATTTGATTTTTGCAAGAATTTCTGAATGTGTTTTTCTCCACTAAAAATATGCTAAAATTTCCTGTGCTAATTTATGGTCCCCACTGATGAATGAAAAACAAAATTTTTAACCAAAATTTCAAACTTTCTAAAAAGGATCAAAAAATATGATTTAATAATTTTCCTCTTAATATGGCTGGTTTCAAAGAAAGGAAGGAAAATAAGGCATAGTTAAGTTGATAGGGAAAACCAATGAAATTTAAAAAAAAAATATAATTTCAAACAAAATCTTTTAAAATATACAAGTAACATATAAATAATGAAAATATTATTTTAATAACATCAGTTTATTTTTTTTACTTATCTGTTTTACCTTCCTTCCTTTAATAATTTAATTGTACAATTTTTGTCTTGTTGAATTTTATTAACAGTGAGTGAGAAGGAATTTTTTTTTTTTTTTTTTTTTTTACAAAGAGGCATTAGAGCATGTTATAATTTTAAAATTATATGTCCTTATTTTTGTTAATTTCAAATTATAGTTTACTGCCTCATAAGTTAATTTAAAATTTGTCTTGTTACAACACTTTTTACCTTTGCTTGCAAAAATCGGTCCAGAAGTCTGTCATTATGTATAGATGCTTTATTATATAATTACTCACCTTTCTAAAAGTAGCACATTTTTTGCACTACTGGTTAATTAACTTCACCCACTGTTTTTTTTCCTTTTCTTTTCATTCTGCCATTTTCCATTGTTTATTCATGCCATTCTCTCTTGCGCTGTTTACTAAGATACTAGTGCCCTAGTATTCATTGAACCCTAACCCTATAAACAATGGGTTTCATTTTTATAACTTTTGATAGATAAACCTTATAAAAACCTTAAATATTTTTTTAAGAAATTAGAAAGTGAAAAAAGAAAGTTGTCAGGAACTTGAATTATTCTTTTTTAAATATTTTAATTAAATTTAATATTTTAAATATTTAGAAGACAATATTGCCATATAATATCGAGGAACTCTGTTCTTATTTTCTGTCTAACATTTAAGTTATGACATTTTTGTGTGCTTGCACACACGTGCATTATGATCCCCCATATCTTGTGGGTAAACATTTGATGTTTTGTTTACAAAGCCACAAATTTTTATATTTTCATATATAATTCATATGGTTATTAGCATTGTTAAATGCTTAGCTCTGGGATCAGGAATTAAAACTTTGCACCAACTTGTCCACTATGAAATTAAATAAACATTCACATCCTTTTATTTTTTCCTGTTTTTGACAAATCTCTCTACAATCATGGCATACCAGTAACAAGACCATGATCAACATGAAAGCCAGAGAATCAGATTTCCCAAAGCATTGGTACAACAGCCATATGAGAAATTCTTACTGGAAATTGGATTTTTTATTTAATCATTATGCTAATGCACCCTTACTTAAAAAAAAGCAAGGGAGAATTTAGGCTGGTGTTGCAGCTGGCAAGTTATAATATTGGTAGAAAGAAAAACCTTATGAGACATTAACAGAAATACTTTAAGGATGGTAACAATCCTGTTCATAATTTGATATGAAATAGATCAAATCAGAATGCTAGAAGCTGTTCTTTCTTGGTGCTTAAAAACATTATGAACATTGGGTTAACTTGGTCAACTGAAGTAACTTATATAGGTATAATTTTAGGATAAAATATCTGAAAATTCCTAAATGAAGAGGCAGAATAAAAAAATAAATTACTTTTAATAAATGAACCAACAAAAATCGTACATTTATATTGCCAAAGCAGCATTGTAGCAAAAAAAGTTCATTAAATTCATAAAATTGAAATCAAGTCAAGTGCAAAAACTAAGTATGATTCTTTAAATCAGTTTGTCTGAAACAAAAAAAAAAATTGCTTTCAATTGAAGCACTTCTGCTTTCTCTTTTTACTTTTTAAATATCCTGAAATAAGTATTCATTTTAAGCAGCAAAATGAATACAAGTACTTATCTCTCTTCACCATGTCCATGGGATATCTGAAAAGGGAATAAAAAAAAAAAAAAAAAAAACTAATCTGATGGATGTATTACTATACAAATAAAGCATTGTGCTGATGTTACCAGTGCACTACAATACTATATTTTCACATTGTCACCTTTAAGATTGATGCACTTATTCCATTGGTGCACAAGCACATAAATGATCTTGACATTTTCAAAAATAGCATTATGTGGGGGAACTGATTTCTGGTTAGATGTTGTCAGGTGTTAATCTAAAAGGGTCATGGTTTATACCATGACCAGGAAGCATTCATTATCAACAGTTGCCATGTCTCCAAAATCATTCGAAGTTTAGCAGTCAGTGAAAAAAATTCCTTGCATGTGTTTTTGTATGCTGTTAATGGACTTCATACCACATGGTCAGACAGTTAATGCAGTCAAATTCTGTGAAACACTGTACAAACTAAGGGAAGCTGTTTGTGGAAAAAGACAAGGACATTTGTGTAATAATGTCATCCTGTTGCAACAGGAAAACTCCATTCCATCTATCTCTAACCTGACAAGAGTGGCTCCAGTGTTGTTGTGGAAGTACAAGGCTGGCTCCATTATTTATGCACCTGTGCATTGACAATGTGGCAAAACATCATAATATTGCTTGTAACTTACCAATGTTTTATTTTTATAGTAATAAACATTTTGGATTAGTAAATGTTTGTCCCTTACTTTTCAAACATTCTTCATATTTCAAAATTTTTTATATAAATGTTTTTTTTCATTCTTTTCTGTCTTTGCAGCTTTCATCTTGGCCATAACTCTTGCAGTGCTTCCATTAAAAAAACTGGTCAATTTTTATATGTACCTGGTTAGTGCCATCCTGCTTGTTGTTGGGTATCATGTATCATTCTCTTATGTGGAAGATGAGAAAGTTTCTGGCCTTGATAGGTCACCTTTCAATGACTTGCCTGATGACTCTTCACGGGTGCAAAAACTTCTTTTGTACTTGTGTGTCCAGTGGTTAATTGGGGCCCTAATTGCCTATTTAGTAGATATAAGAAATTGGACCAAATATCTAACCCTTGCCTTTTCCACTCCAATGCTTGCTCACTTGGCTGGCATTCCTGTGGAAAACCTCAGCACCGTACACAATGTTGCCTCAACTCTTATCATCTCTGTAATCCTGGTGCACCTTTTTAATGGCCTTAGCCACACTTTGGACTTTGTAAAATCTGAGATTAAACGCATTTGGCAGATCATCAATGCCACTGGCTGGTTACCAATTGTGATAACCTTTTGGCATACCATAATGCTGCCTACCCAGTTACTTCTCTTTTGGATGGTCTTGTTCTGTACCCAACTATACATTTATTTGAGTGCTGAAAATAACCCCATTATCCAGGAAGGCTGGCTTGTCATGGTACTGGCCAGTATTGGGGAATGTTGCGCCACACCCGTTAGCCTCTTTGCCCTTTGTGTCACGATCTCTTATGCTTCCTATTATATCCTCACCCTCACCAAGCTTTACTTACAAGGGTGGGAAGGCATTGGCCATGATAATGATGGTATGCGTGGTTGGACTGAGGGATTTACCATGCTGCTGATAGCTATGCAAACTGGACTTTTGGACTTGCGACCTTTACAACGTGCTTTCCTCATGAGCATCCTTCTTTTCATTGTAGCCTCTTCCCTTATTCAGTCAATGTACGAAATGACTGACCCTATCCTACTTACCCTTAGTGCCTCTCGTAATGGCAGTATTTTTAAACACCTTAGAGCTGTGGTTCTCTGTACCTTTCTCTGGATGTTTCCACTCTACATGACTTACATGATTTGCCAGTACCTTGACTTGGACTTTTGGCTTCTTGTCATCATTTCCAGTTGTTTGCTCACATCTGTACAAGTCATCGGATCACTGGCCATCTATGTCCTCTTCATGTATGACTTTGTCCGTAATGAACCATGGGAGTCTTTGGATGATGTCATCTATTATGCACGCTCGATGACCCGTGTGCTTGAATTTATTGTGGCTGTGTTTGTTGTATGTTACGGTGTTAAAGAAACGCTCTTTGGAGAGTGGAGCTGGATAAACTCCTCCATCTTGATTATCCACTGTTACTTTAATGTCTGGCAAAGACTGCAGAGTGGATGGAAGAGTTTTCTGCAGCGGAGAGAGGCAGTTAAAATGCTTGAGTCAATGCCTTGTGCAACGGAAGAACAACTGCTTGCTCACAGTGATGTGTGTGCTATCTGCTTCCAAGAAATGACTGTTGCTCGTATCACCAAATGCAACCATTATTTCCATGGTCTTTGTCTGCGCAAGTGGCTCTATGTGAAGGATGCATGCCCCATGTGTCACCAGAAAGTTTCACCATACTCTACAGAATCGGAACAAGCAGGAAATCCTGATTCCACAGAAAACGGTGCCGAGCCTTCAACTGAAACTGATTCCACAGTGTCTTCCTCTGCATCAAATAACACTCAAGATACAGTTTCCACAGAGCTACCAGCATTATCTCCAGACACCTTGGATAAAAACAATTTCACTGGCAGTGGAAACTCAAATGAGCCATTGTCTAAGACTGTTGCTACTACTGCTGATCTAACTTTGGAAGGAAATGATAGAAAAAATCCCAAACTAAAAAGTGTCCAAACACCAGAGGAACTGATTTCAGCACCTTGTGAGCCAATTAGTTCTGGACCTGCTGAAGGCTGTGGAAGCCCAGTCACTATGAAGTAGAGAGGAAAAAAAATTCTCTTACTAAAAGAATAAATGACATCAGCTTAATGTGGAGTGTTACTCAGCTGATTGAACTTGATCCAGCCTGGACATAATATTTTGGATTATTGTTTTGAACAAAAAGAACGGCAGCCGTGTTTTTTTTTTTTTTTTTTTTTTTAACCTTCTCCATAACTGTTTCTATTTATGTTTTTCATTATACATGATTTCTAGGATCTTGCAATTCATTTTGACGGGTTCACAAGGGTTGAAACATTTACAGGATAAAACATGCACAGATTGTTTTATCTTAGCCTTAAATCTATTTTGGCGTTTATGGCAGGTTTTTCTGGGAAAAGTAATTAATTTCACAGGTTAATATTTAAAGAATTTATTTTCATTTAAAAAATATATATGTACATCAGTTTTGTTAAAAGAAAAACAACACTTAAGCATTTGTTGAGATATCATTCAATTAGTCATGTTAAGAATTATATGGAGCAGGATATTAAGAATGATACCTCTTTGCATCTCTTCTAGATGGTTTTCATGTATATACGGCTCATGCACATTATTGTGAGGTACTTATGTAATCATTGCATTTGCAGTAACGATATTGGAAAATAATTTTAATTATTTTACGTGGAGCTATTGAAATACCAGAATCTTTAAATTATGTTCAATCTATCCCCTTTCGAAAGTACATTTTGAAAGAGATTAATTTAAAATGCAAAAGTGTTTTTATCTGATCTTTTGAAATAAATAAGTTTAACGATTAAAATATATTGGCAACGATATATTAATGACATGATTAATTATTAGTTAATAAATTGTGAATTTTATTTATTTCAAAATTAATGTGAAGTAACACTGCAAAATAATTCCAAGGAAAACAAATTTTGCGTGTAAGGGGGAATAACTTTGTAAGTTACGTTCATTTATGTCAAATTTTTATGAAGTATTATTTTGGTTTGTAATAAGAAACTAAATTCAAGTCAAATTTTCTTTTCGAAGTACTTCTAATTTCATGCTATAGATTTTTATTTTATAGAGTTAATATATGAAAAATATTGTACTTATTAAATCAGTCTTTTTTTTTTGTTACCAGAATAAGTACTTGTTTAAAAGTAAATATTGGAAAATATTCTACAGCAGGTATTAGGCATTAATTATTGTCATCATCGATTATATTTGATTTACTAATTGAGTTTGCCTTCTATTATTGGTACAATGTCATGTAAAGCATTATATCTATCTCAATATTCATTAATTGATTACAGTAAGTGATTAATATTCTTAATTATTGAACACATTAATTTTTAAGAGGTGTTTCTCAACCTGTCCAATATCAGGTGATGTATATATATTAATTAAATTTCCAGTGAACCAAAAAAAAAAAAAAGTTCAGATATACCAAAGAAATCCTTCATATCATGGGGGACAGTAGGAACTTGGCAAAGGAACTTATTGCTAAAAGAAAAATAGTACTCAACAATATTGGGTTCTTGTTCCCCATAACAGAGCATATAATAGAATAAAATTTTATATATATATATATATATATATATAATGATTTTTCTCCTCAGGTAACTATGTGAATCACTTTAATTTCATGACAAGTTGGAATTGCTTATTAAAGACATTTAAAAAAAATTAGTAATTTGTCACCTGAAAAAAAAAAATTTTTTCTAGGGAAAATTATATGAAAGTATTATTTATTTCCTCAGATAATGTGCATGGTTGTGAAGACATTTTCTAACTTTTGATCTCTGTTTAAAATTTGCTGAATTTACTTTTCCCTAAAAAAATATTGATCTAAATGGGTTAACCTTTTTTTTTTTTTTCTTAAATCTGTGAAGATAAATAATTGAAATGATTTCTGAAAGGATTCTGAAAATGTTTATCTACAAAATAAGGGAGGAAAGAAATATACTACTGCAATTTACAGGAATATTAATGGTAAAGGCACTTTAAATTCAAAACAATTTTTAAGAAATTGAAGTATTATGTGGAGGCATTGTTTTGTATGTATGTCGGTAAGTTTGCACCATTCTGCAGGAGGTCTTTATTAACTAGGGAATTGTTTTTAAAGTTGAACCACAGTCAGGGCAAACACAAACAGTATTGCTGAGAAACTCTTATTTCAACTGGAGGGACAAAACTATGTTGTTCCATTGATGGCTGGAATTGATTGAAATTTATATTTCTAATCAGTAAGCTAATACAACTTATGTGGAATTGATAGAAAGTTGTTGTTTTTTTTTTGTTAATCTAATTGTTCAAAATAATATCTGAAGTGTGTTCTGAGTCATTAACATTATGACATTTTTAACTCTTTATGATCTTATATTTAATTAAGAACAAATCTTTTGGCTATTTTCTAATGTAAACTTCTACTTGTATTAACTTTATAATGTATTAAAAACAAAGATATTTTGATGTTATTTTCTGTGACAAAATGTCCTTTTTAAGGCTAAAAAAAGTTTATCCCAATGAAAGCTTTTTCTGATTGAATGTTAACTAATTATTGAAAAACCACTTCTAGCTTCTTCATGTATTTAAATTGGTTTACTATTTTAAGCTACCTCAATTTCTGTTTAAGTTTGGTTCTGGTTTGTGGTTCATTTCAGCTTTCAATGCTACTGATGAAGATGCATTCCCTTGGTTGGTCTATGATTGCAGTTGGCTTGTGGGAAGCTATAACGATTTAGTGGAAATCTCTTTACCTCATATCTGCTGTTCATGCTGATTATCTCATACCAAATTGCTATATCAGTTTAGAGAGAGAAAAAAAATGGACGGATCTTGGCTTTATCAAAATAGTGGGTTCACTTTAGAAGACATTTTTTATTTTAATCATAAAATGACCTTATTTGATATTAATGCTTAAATACTTTTACTATTTATTTTTTTTTTTTTTAATCATTCTAATCATTTATGTGAGTAAAGGCAGCAGGGATCTTATTAAAGCAACCTTTATCTGGTAATAATGAATATTTCCAGTACTAATTATTTTTGTATATTTTGTTTATAATTTAAGGAATTGTGTTATAGGATAGTTTTACCCAATACTGGATGAAAAATTTTGTATAAGCATGTTACAATCAAAGTTAATGTTACAAACTAACTATATTTAAGCTAACATTAATGAAGGTACAAAATGGTTTGAATTTCTCATTTTATGTTTTTAACCCACCTATTTTTATCCATTTAGCAATTGTCATATCTGCTACTGGATAACCAGAAATGTTTTCTATGAAGACATTGCTAATTTGTTTGCCATTTTGATTGACTTCTCTCTTTTTACTTTTTTCTTCTGATGGGCAAAAAAAGGCATGAGTTAATGCAATAAAATTTCATATTTTATATTTTTCTTTGTTTTTATTTGACTGAAAGACATACATTGGATTTTCAATGTCATGTCTCCTCCCCCCTCTTACTGCTGGAAGTGCAATAACTTTAATATCAAATTAAGAGAGGAAAACTTATTTGTAAAGTTTGGTTACACAATCTCTGATTTTTCAGTAAATGATGTAGACTTGACAACTGAATATATTATGGTAAGTCTTGGCCTACTGTCTCCAACCCACTTTTAGTTTGTTTGTTTTTTGTTTTTTTTTTATATATATAGATCTGAAGAAGTCTCTTGAAGTTAGTTTAGATATCAGTTGAATGTATTTAGTCATAAAGAAAAACAAAACTGATCTCAAAATGGAGAAATGTTTGTTAAAAAGTATATAATCACTGTTCATTTAGTTAAGGTTACAAATGTTGAATTGACCCTTCATGAGTGAAGTGCTGTTTCAAGTTATGGCCAGCATACATTCCAAAAAAGGAACGTGATAAAAGAAAATGAAATTGGTGAATATATGGAACACTGGTGTTGGGATTTCTAATCAACCAAACTTTGTTGGAAATTAAGTTAGAATTTCATTCTCCTTTGCAATTCTTTAGATGATGTCTCACAGTGCAGGAAATTAAGGGGTTCACCAAGCAGCCAACGGGGCCTGCAGATCTAAGTTCCAACTACTAAAGTGCCAAAATTCAAAGATGTACATTAAAAACACTTCAGTGGATGGTTAGGGTTCTCTGATTAATATTTATCCCCATATTATCCAAAATTTGGTTGGTCACTCCTTCTCATTGCTACTTCATTGGCTCAATCTCTTTTACTTTTAACCAATAAGATGGGATCACACCTCTTCAACAGGAAATCGTAGCCTAA